TCACCCATGGAAAGGTCTTGTCACAATATTAAATACACATGTGAAATATGAGAGCCCTAGCACCAACTGTTCAAAAGGTATGGCCAAGGTTAAAGTTGGGTAATTTTTTGGCAAAAATGGGTCAAACTGTAAGGTCAAGAGGACAAATATGTTGGTACCCAAGGGGAATCCTTGTCACAAAGAATACACATGTGAAATTAGTCCGAAATATCTGACGTTTTCCGCTTTTTTTCACGATTTTGATATTTTACGTGCCAGGAAAACGTAAGAACCGGCGCCATTACGAAAACTGGAAAATTCGCCGTCTCCATTCGGAGTTGATTTTCGATACCTGGGAACCGAATCAAATGCCGTTTTCACAATTTATCAATAGCACAATGCTTCTACTGCCTTCTAGTACTCAACAATATCGATGGAAAGAAAACACCACTTATCATTTCGGTACAGGACTTGAAAAATTTTAAAATGCACGAAATGAAAAAAAAATCTCGACAGTCAGATAAAATATTTTCATCGGATTGTATATTTTATAAACAAACCATAAAAACCGATTTTGGTGAGTACTAAAAGCATTGTACTATTGATAAATTGTGAGTTTGGCATTTCATTCGCTTTGCAAGTATCGAAAATCAACCCGAGAATGCCGCCTCTGGTTGGAGGCGGCAAATACCCAGTCTTCGTAATGGCGCCGGTTCTGACGTTTTCCTGGCATGTAAAATATAAAAATGGTAAAAAAAGCCAGGAAAACGTCAGATATTTCGGACTAATGTGAAATATGAAAGCCACGGCAATAATAAAGTTTTAGCGGACAAACAGACAGACAGATGGACGGACTTGGCAAAAACTATATACCCCCGAATCTTCGATTACAGGGGCATAAAAATACTGGGTGTTTCGATATTATCAACTCTATTTTTTATTATATGTGGGCAAAGTCACAGTTTGATGTGCTTTAGAAAATTTGAAATTCTTTTATTTCTCAACCAAAAAAAAAAAAGGGAAGGCCTGACCTTTTATTCATTTCATTAACAATCTACAAAAATAAGAGATGGGAAGAGAAATGAAACAATCACATACATGTAGCCCAAAAGTGTTGTCTGAGACAAAACGAATCATAATAAAATTACTAAAAATAAATTCAAATGAACAATTCTTTTCATAAAACAGGTGACACAAGCATGATTAAAAATTTTGCAATAAGAAATTGAAGATAATTTGAAGAAATATTGGATTTCGATTGATTTTTTAACGCCCTACTGAGACCTAACCAACTAAAGGTGGGATGCTTGTTCTCTGCAATCAAGCCAATATAGGCCTGCAATTAATATTCTTAAATGTGCCAAATGCGACACGATTTTTAACTTCTCGAATAACGTATGAGTATAAAATATTGTCAAAGAACTAGGAATCGTCTTCATGTATTTTTTTTTTCACCCGGAACACCTCTTGATGAATTTTGCCTACAGAGGACACCTCTTCATGTATTTTTCCACTGTTAACACCTCTTGATGAATTTTGTCCACCCAAAACACCTCTTCATTGACCTTATCCATTTGGAATGCCTCTTTATGAACCTTGTCCTCCAAAATGACTCCCCATGTACCTTATCCACCGGGAACAACTCTTCATAAACATTGTCCTCCAAGAACGACTCTTCATGTATCTTATCCACCAAGAACACCTCTTCATTGACCTTGTCCACCGGGGACACCTCTTCATAAGCCTTGTCCACCGGAGACACCTCTTCATGGATTTTGTCCACCGTGAACGACTCTCCATAGACCTTGTCTGCCAAGAATGACTCTTCATGTACCTTACCCACCGGAAACGACTCTTCATGGACTTTGTCCTCTAAGAATGACTCATTATGTACCTTCTCCATCGGGAACACCTCTTCATGAACCTCGTTCACCGGGAATGCCTCTTCATGAACCTTGTCCACCTATCTCTATAGCTAACCAAGACACCTCTACATGGACCTTGTCCACCGGGAACACCTCTTCATGGACCTTGTCCACAATGGAATACTCCTAGTTATTTTGTGAATTAACAATGAAAGATCAAGAAGTCTCAAACCAATTGGAAGCTAATAATACCGGTATTTCACAACCACCTGGCACTGACAGCACTTCCCTTGATGGAATTAAATTTGAGCGTCTTTTTGTGATAGTAAAATGAGTGGCGTATAGGAAGTATATTCATTAATAAAATAACATGATTCAGCATCATACGTGCAATTATAAAACATAAGATAATAAAATAAGATAATTTGAAGAAATATTGGATTTCGATTTGATTTTTTAATGCCCTACTGAGACCTAACCAATTAAAGGTGGGATGCTTGTTCTTTGCAATCAAGCCTAAGCCTGTAATTAATGTTCTTAAATGTGCCAAATGCGACACGATTTTTAACTTCTCTATCGAATGATGTTTTTGTTTATTTCTAAATTAAGAGTCCTAGTGTCAAACTTTAAGCATATTGTCAAATAATGTCTTAATGTGTTTCAATACTCTTACTTAAGTATAATGGTCCTTCGTAAAAAACATTAAACTATAATTTTGTATGAGTATAAAATTTTGTCGAGGAACCATTAACCCTTTTCATGTTTTTTTTTTTGTCCACCGGGAACGTTAACACCTCTTCATGAATTTTGTCCACCGGGGACACCTCTTCATTGACCTTATCCATCGGAGACACCTCTTTATGGACCTTGTCGACCGGGAACACCTCCTTATGTACCTTATTCACCTGGAACGACTCTTCATGGACCAGTCACCTTATCCTCCATAGAAAAAATCTTCATGTATCTTCTCCATTGGTAACACCTCTTCATGAATCTTGTCTACCTGGAACACCTTTTCATGGACTTTAGCCAAAGGGAACGACTCTTCATGGACCCTGTCCTCCATGAATGACTCTTCATGTACCTTCTCGACCGGGAACACCTCTATATGAACCTTGTTCACCTGGAACACCTCTTCATGGACCTTCTTCACCGGGAACGACTCTTCATGGACCTTGTCCATAATTGAATACTATTTATTATTTTGTGAATTATCAATGAAAGAACAAGAAGTCTCAAACCAATTGGAAGATAACGATATTTCAAAACCACCTGGCACTGACAGCACTTCTCTTGATGGAATTCAATATGATCTTTCTGTCACTATGAAGAAATATCCTGATTTAATAATGGAATAAGAAGTATTGCATATTGTCATCAAAAACAAGGTCATTGCTCAGAAATATAAACTTAATGACCATTTATAGTTTCAGGCATGATTTTTTTTTGGGGGGAGTGAAATTATTTAGATATGCTAATACAATGTATTTAGTGTTGTAATGTGTAATTACATCTCTAAAAGCTTCAGAATAGAAATAGCTTAAGCGTCCAATAGAGCCTTCTTCTCCCATTTTTTGTTGTAATGATTCTGTAATGGTCATTATGATACAAGGGAAGGTTTGGTAATGTATCCTGGGGAAAGAGCAATTATAACCACGCATGCATTAGAACGCAGTTAGGATAAAACATGCTGATGCAAATTGTATATAGTTTAATTCATCTACAGGTATTCAGCAAAAAAAAAATTAAAAAAAAAAAAATTAAAAGGGTTTCTATTCCGTGTTTGTGACCATAAGATGTGTATATTCAAGGAAGCTGTTATCATATATAAGATAGGATAACAAATTAACATCTCAATTTTTTGGTTTGTCATTAATATTCCTACTTTTTCAGAATGCCGGTTTAAGTTAATCATCTTGCAAAAACAAACACCTTGTTTGAACGAAAAGGCACAAAAATGGGTAAAAATGGAAACTTTTTGTCAACAAAGAATTTAATCTAACAATTCTTTGATCATTTTTAGCTTAACCTGAAACTGGCATTATAACATGTATGGATAAAGGACTTTCCAAAGGTGATCTAGTAGAGAAAGACAAAATTTCATCGATAAAAAAAAATAAGATTCGGAGTGTAATTTCAAATAACAATCAAAAGCCGACATGTTTATTAATTTTGTCCATACGATGGTTTTTCATGTCGTTAAAGGTTTTGATCCTTTTGCGCATTCCATTGTGATCATTATCTTTTTCACAAAGTCATTTACGTGAGCGAACAATAAATTTGAGCGTCTTTTTGTGATAGTAAAATGAGTGGCGTATAGGAAGTATATTCGTTAATAAAATAACATGATTCAGCATCATATGTGCAATTACAAAACATATATACCTATGATCAGAAACCTAGTATGTTCTTTTCGGGACACGTCTTTGTTAATTTCTACTTTTGAAGCATTGCCTTGTTAACATTTAAAAAGTACATTTTTATCTAGTGAACATTACAGTCATGTTTGTAAATGCATGGATTGATGCATTCGATAACCCCCTCCAAACTTGTTGAGGCAATTTTACCTCATGAAATATGATTGATGCTTTCCGTCTCCCCGTGGAAGAAGTTAAAACAAAAAGGTAATAATAGTAACCGAGTATAATTGATTTGTTTGTCAGATTTCATCAGTTACTTTTATATCAAAGGAAAGGTTGAGTAAAAATCCATTGTGCTGAAATGCATTTAAAAAAAATAAACATAAAATCAAATTTGATATACATGTATATGTATATCTCCAACACAATCTAAAAAATAAAAAACAAAGTAGTAAAATTGCAATTCAGATACATGTGAGAGAAACAATTTCTTATTTTATTGATACAGGTACCACTGCAATGCTGCAGTCGTGTGTGGATTATTTACTCAACAAGTAGAGGCTGCGGGAGTTGCAGCTTTCTGACGCATTCTTTGCTGGACATGTTATACAAATGATTAAAGGTTTGACAATTTATTGACAATATTCTACCATGTACAGCAGCTGCCTGTTGAATATGTCAGTAAAATCTGCGCTCTTCCTCAAATGATTTTCCCCGAGGAGTACACATTGTTATTAAGCGGAAATCTCCAAGTACTTTTTGATATTGTGCTTCATTCAAGGGACATGAATAGAAAAATAATAATTCAAGACTAATCCAAAGAAAGTTCAAAGAAATACAAATGGTAGGTTATTCCTGGAGAAAACTTAACCGCCTCCCCTGTGACGTCATCGGTGTATAACGCATATATATATAACAGCAGTTACCGGAGGCTGACAATCGAGAGTTTATTGTATTAGATGAAAAGCTTAAGATGATATTGGTTTTTGAGAACTGCCAATTAGCGGACAGAATCCTATTTCTTTAACTGGTAAACAGAGAAGGAGTTATCAGACAAATTCAGGACCATTTAATTTCCGAACTAATCCAATAACAGCCTTAAAACTTTATTCCTCTTATTTTCTGGTCGCTGATATTCTTCAAAGGTTATAATGGAATTCGAGAATCTGTCGATGACCACAACAGCGTTAGACAGTTTCGTCAATGATAGCGTATACCCCCGCTTAAATGGAACTATTATGCACTCTGGTTTTGACAAAGATGGGTATATAAGGATTTCGCTGTACAGTATTATTTTTATACTAAGTGTACTTGGAAATGGACTGGTGATACTAACTCTGGTTCAAAACAGCAGGATGAGAACTGTCACCAATGTGTTTCTTTTGAACCTGAGCGTTAGTGACTTACTTCTAGCAGTCTTCTGTATGCCCTTTACAATCATTCCACAGCTTATGAGAAAATTCATTTTTGGCGAAATCATGTGCATTACCATTCGATATTTTCAAGGTATGTAAAATATGCTGAATTAAGTCAACATTTTCAAAAAAAGTATAAGAGAATTTTCAAAGTTAATTTCATGTATGATTTTTTGAGTTAAGTTGATTTCAAATATGTTGCGCAATATACATGTAGAAGTGAATTTGCGGGAATATTAGTTTAATGGGCTACATGTATACATATGTAGAATCATTTGTATATGACTGTCATTTTTAAGTACATTAAGATCTCTGTTTATTTAAAATATTCATCCTTGTGTTCTCGCAAAATTCTCCATATCTCACCTGACAATGCAACAGAATTCATTTCGTATACATCAAGTGTTATTGTCATCAGTACGTTGTGCAATGATCAGATTTATGCAATCCATCATTGTGTTTAAATTGAGCCATTGTCCAAAGAGAGTGACAATCCAACTCTCTAAATGGCACCGGAAATGATAGATTTCCCGTCATTCCCTATTTCTATTCTGTTTCTGTGCCATACACGGTATAGCCATTAGAAACTCCACCTTTGTAATTTGCACTACGCCCGTGATGTATTTGTCCATTATTATTAGCATGTACCTATTTCTCACTAAACATAAAAAGATAATTATCTTAATTCGCTCTCATCTCAACGTACCAGATGGAGAAATTCTGTTTTTTATCGACTTGAAATTTCTGTTTGATTCCATTTTTACGGTAACCGACCTTTCTCTTTTTATATAATTAAGTCCAGGACAATTTTCTGAGGTTCATTTATCCAGCTGAGATCCTCAAACAATATTGGGTTAAGATATTCACGATTTTTAAAAGGAAGGTAATTAATTTTGATATAAGTACATGTTACACGGTGTAAATGTATGATTTAGATCGTAATGTAATTTTAATTGATCGCCATAAGAGTCCTATCATGCTAGAACTTACAGAGTAAAGATCGGCCTTGAAGGCGTATTTCAGCAATTTTAATATTACTTTTTTGAGAGATTACTTGTAATTTTAAATATATATAAGCTGTATTCAATTTAAGATGTAAGATATGATATATATAAATTATTTAATCCTTAAAGTAAGAATGAGTTTAATTCGTCTGTGTTAATCATTCCCATACACTAGTAAGTGTAATGTAATGAGATCATAGAGACCTCTCTTTAACTCTATTTTTAAAGGAATCTTCATGATAATTTTTCTAGATAATTATTTTGCAATAGAGATCCAGGGGCTATATCAATTATTTGACATTAGAAACAATCAATAAAATCTTCAAAATTGTGCAATTCATTCCAATTATCACGCCTGAGGACAAAAAAGATGGTGATTGTGTTGACGATCTCGCATTGGGTTTTATCAGCAAAGATGTTCAAGAATTCATCAAATGCAATCAAGCAAAGCCTGGTTCTGCGAAATCACCATGTTTTCGCTGAGGTAGCTAGAACAGAAGCTATGGTGACAGGGCTTTAGCCTTCACTCCTTTGTCTTCAGTAATCAACATCGAGTAAACAAAAGGAGGCAGGCACATAAAGGTTTTCTCGATATGTGCAACAGATTTAGCAAAAGTTTTCACTGAACATATCAAATTGAATAGTGTATCCACAGGCATTTTCAGTAACGACAAAAAGATAAAGATCGAAGAGTATATTAGTTTTTCTTTTTATTAATTGCGATGACAAGGTTACAATTTCAATGTTGTTTTCTTAGGGAAAAAAGCAGTAAAATGTATGCCTCAAAAAAAGTACACGTACTTTCAAATTACAAAACCTAAAATATCTTCATGATAAGATCTGAAATGCCTCACAGAATAAAAAATCAAAAAAGAAAGAAAAAGACCCACACAAAATAGTGTGTAGTTAATTCTAGATGTTTTTCTGAGAGGATTTTTACTTCTTCAATATTTGAAAATGCCAAATTGCTATGACAGTTCTGGTTATTTTCACATTTTCACATTCTACAATTAAGAATAATTTTTAAGAAAAGTGAAAGTACACTTTAGACACTTATATGTGTCAATTTCAATTTAACACGTACAGCGAATGTGTTGGAAATATCAGTTCAAGTGGTAATCTATCCCTTGTAAGATATGAGAATCCCATTACAGTGAAAGGCAGTAAGTGGAACATAAAAGAAATCAGTCAAAATTTCAATGTCTGAATCCTTCGTGATTGTCTTGTTTTGTTTACAACCATCTTCATAATACATTTTGTTTTAGAAAGGAACAACCCAGGACCCATTGCTCATTGAATGAGCACAATGTGTATTTCATGTTTTAATTACCGCGGGATGTAAGGAATAAGCACAACGGCGATCACCAACATGCCTTTTATTAAAGAAACGAATGTATACGAATGCCATCTGTCAAAATTTGTGTTCACAGAACATTATACCATTTAAGTTATGTACCGACAAAATGTCAGAGATGTCAATTTGTTGTATTTGTAAAGGGATTAAAAATAACTTGTATTTCCAGAACTTTATTGAAAACTAGTTGCTTTGTCAAGTAGATTCTTGTCTTAAGATACAATGTATTTTAAAATTTCTGTATCCCAGAAGCCAGCAAATCATTAATCAACTAAATATATTAGTGTGCACATATACATGTGGACAACTTAGATTTTGTTGTATGCATGTGGCCAGGGAATTCACTTATAGTACAACACGGGAATTGCCCATTTGTTCATAATCGCCTTATACAATTAGAATTCTACATTTATAAATCAATCATTTGTTAACATGAGCATAGAAATAGTAGATATTAATATAAAATCGTATTTAAACTATAAAATACATGAAAAAGAAATAATGGTGTCTTTCCGAGTGAATAAAAAATTAGTCTTTGCTTCTTAGTAGTACATGTACCAGCACTGTCACGTCAGTACATGTTTTCACCTCGAACAAAGGATTTACCTAGCTCGGCACCAAATCTCATGGTACTTGGAAAAAGTTTACCAACATATGCCAGTGGCTCATTTAGCATGCGAACTTATTCTGACGTCTAAAAAATTGGTTTCCTTGTTCTTTTTATAAAGGAAAAGATCAAACTGGATTTTACAATGTTTTAATCACAAACATCTGAGCGCGGTAAGGTATATTGTTCCTCTCATATATGGGTGGATTTTGATGTAAAGAAGAAAAAAATATAACCAGCCCAAAGATATGTACCTAACTGCGCTTGCGTATTTTGAGGGCTCTCAAAAATGGGGCGGGGCTGAAAGTCAGTGGGGATTCGATGTACTAGTAAACAGCGACCTCTATCTGAAATAAAGATATAAAATTATACATGTACCTTCCATGTGTCCTTTTTTATTTTCGGTTAAAAAGGTATTCCATGATGGTAAGGCCAAATAAAAAAAATATGTGTGGTTCCGGTTACCCGACCTTCCCTGTTTTATACCCCCGACCCTAAACTTTTTTTTGGCAATTTTCATATTTTTTGCGGAATTTTCCCCGATTTCCATTAATGGCTCCAGTTTAAGTTTTAGTTTCAGCAATGACAGCCTCCTTGCAAAACATAGTGCAAGTGTTTAATATTGTTAAATCCAAAGCAAGCTAGCATGTAGGTGTCCCCTACCAATATTGACTAGTATATTATCACACCTCATCTAAATACCATTTGCAAAGCAGTGATAGGTATTATTTAGAAAAAATTAAGAAAATCATTTTGTTAAAAAAAAAAAAAAATAAATAAAAATAAAAAATTTCTCTACCTACCTACCCTAATTTTTTTGGAAGTGTAACCGGAACCACACATATTTTTTTGTTTGGCCTAAACATATCAAGGAATAGTTACATAAAAAAATAAGTGTAAAATGAAGATTTTATTGTCAATCTACCGGGGGCACACCATCCTTTTCCAGAGATTGCTTTTAACTTGATAATTCTATAAATAAATGGTAGTCATTCATCTCGGTGAGAATTACCAACCTTAAAAGAACGACATAAAACAAGTATACAACTGTTGTAACTCGATGAAGCATTTCCAAAGTCCTGGATCCATCCGTGCATATAAGTCTTATAGTTATTTTTACTAGATGTATAATGAAAACTTTACAACCCTTTACTGGTTAAAAAAATTATTGAAAACAAGTAGTCGGGGGTATTTTAATATACTGTGAATAAATACATGTATCCGTTAGAAAATGAAATTTATGTCTGAAGTTAAAAAAAACAAAACAATTTAAACGTTGTATCTAATATGAAATACTTAAATGTCATGCAAAAAGATATGCATATTAAGTTTACCACCCTGAGAGACCAAGTGATATTACGATTGATCGCCTTTTAATTGTTTAAATTTCACCGGAAACTATGGGATACATGTATTCCTACGCCATCCCTGTGACCGTGGTACATCTATGTTTATTCTTTCTTATTAAAATAGAATCCTAAACTTTATGATACATTTAAATTAAATTCCGTTTCAAGATTTTTTTTTTTGCCATTTGCATATTTTACATGTATATAGAACCGTCGTTTTAGATGACTAAGCTCCTCTATATAGGGCTTGAGTAAAATATCAAATTCTGTCTCCAAGAAATGACCTCTCTGTTTTTCTGGTGGCTTTCGAAAATTAGTTATTTTTGACGGTGATTAGTTCTGAATGGTCCATTTGCATAGCTGTTAATGATCCTAGTAATGACCCATGGCAGTATTAAATGACCATAGACGTATAATACTATGTTCCTCTTCATCTCAGTTTGGTCACGTGGGTTAGAATACTTCATTTGTCATTGGGCTTTAATATGAAAGGGTGACATGCAAATCCACTGTGGTCAATGTCAAACGAATACTAGGCTCCCTCGTAACCGGTTAATCAACCCTTCCATAGGAATACATTTAACCCTACTTTCCTTATTAACGAAAGTATTATTCCTTCATAACTGTGGCTTATATTTAAGCTATGTGAAGAATTAAGTTCTATTCTTTTAAGCGAATTGAACATAACTCTGTGTAGCTCAGTGAAATTAAGACTATATTACAATTAATTATTTTTATTTTCAGAGTTAAGTAATTTTAGATGTCTTACATGTATAT